ATCTGGCATTAGCTTCAATAAGGCTTCTCAAAGCCCTTTTACAGCTGGAAAATAAAACCCAGAAAAAAATACAGATCAGAAAGTAAGGAAGTACTCTTAGGATATCAAGAAGAACTAAAGGAGAAGAAATGGGAGACAGAATCACATTAAAGTGTGTGTGTTCATAAAGAGATGTTCTTCTAAATTTTTCCTCAAAAATGTTAGTCTGTATAATGAATTTGACTAGCAGGTAAGCCATAAGTGTAGCAACTACTGTAAAAAGCCATAAAAATGATGGGTTAACAATCTAGATGAAAAAAATAGTAACAAGCCAAAATAACAGTGATCTTTCATGTGAATGTTCAGTTCAGTCTGCAATGAGAAGTAACATTAATGATGAGAGGATATAACAGTCAAAAAAAAAAGTCCTGGGAAAGAAACTTAATGGAAATGAAAATATTATTCAGACCCCAATGCTGGTAATAAGCAAATTATTACCAACTTTGATAAAATTGGACAATTAATATGTATAAGTGCCATAAAAGCATGTAGAGTCTCTAGCATGCAACATGAGCTGTTGCTTAATAATAGAGGACGTGGTTTAGTCTAAAACTTTCATAAACAACATCTCTTTATATTGTCCTTTTCTTTCAGAAAATTATCCCATTTTTCTTGAGATCTTTTCTTAGGATGTTAATAACAGAGTAAGAGTTTTTGAAAAGGCTTTTCAGAGATAATCTCAATTTTTAAGGAATCACTGCGCTTCTCATTTGATAGCAGCAATTTTACTTTTAACTGCATATGGGTGCCCTTGACTAAATATATGTCAAGGATGTAAATATTACGTAGGCATACATCTGTAAGGGAGTCTAGGGAGTACACAAACAGGCTATGCTCTGCACCAGCTATCCACTGTTATTCACAACTGCCTCTGCTGCTATGCAGATGTGCACCCAACTAATACCTGAAACATTCTCAGACATCTCTGGAAATGCACAACTGGTAATCCATAAGTAATGCAGCATATAGCAAACATGGTGCAGGCAGTTTTTAAGGTATCCTGCTGCAGATTCAGAAATGCTAATTCAAGCCATGTTGTAAGCTGACTTTGAAACCATCTTGCCTGACTTATCAAACCAGCTGCATTTTATGTCATTTGTGCTTGAAAAGCACAAAGTGTCCAGATATGTCTTCCTGTGCTCCTTTTTGTAGCTACTCTGAAGAGAATTCAGAAGCTGACCATGTTAGCCTAAGGTGAGTCTTTTTTTTTTGTCCTATTAGGACAATGATGAACATGTTCTTACGTGTTACATGCTTGTCTACAGCATGAGAACATTTCACAGCAAAGAATGCTTCTAGGCAAAAAGGGGCATTTCCCTGCAACAGCCTAAGATGGTTTCTATGGAAAATGGAGGACGAGGTACACTGGGGCTCACTAAGAAACCAGGCTCCCCAGGCACAACCCTGTGCTTCATTTCTCTTCACAGAACTGCTCCTTGACAAACAGTAAATGATTTTCTCTCATGACTTGGCAGGTAGATGGAGCACATAGGATTATCCATAAAAGCAGTATGACAGAGCAGCATCTGATACACGGAGTTACCTAAGATGTCTCAACAGGGGCGAGATCTGATACTAACCAGCAATTGAGGAAAAAGTTCTTCACCACCCAGGAAATGCTGCCAGAGCTGCAGTCAGCAGAAACTGAATTGTAAAAGAGATGAAGCCAGCACAGAAGCGATGTCCTTCTGTTCCCAAAGGCTGTAGTTTGGGTCTGTTCAACTTGTTTTTCCTCCTCCAACTAAAACCAGCCAATAAAGCACTATATAATGCATTCAGATTCCTGTGGTAACAGTGGATCTTTCTTTTTGTATGACATTTTTTCAAAGTCAGCTTTATGTATATGATTCCCGCCTGCCAAATATCTGCCCCATTTGAAATCTATATCTAGCCTGAAACATTGTGTTTTGCCCTCTGGTTGACCGTCTGCGCCTCTGAAAGACATCCTTGTGAAGAAGTGCCCCTTTGCTCCTGTGGTTACCATTACTGCTCCACACAGTTTCCAAGGGTGATGCTATTATATTGCTCCAGCCACTGTGTGCACCCTATTGAGTAATTTATTGGCCAAGATTCTAACAGAAGAATGGCCTGTCTAGGATTCTGTTGAATTTTAAAAGGTAGGAATATTGCACTTCATAACAGGCAGCCATTAATGATAACCAACAATATAATTCTGATGGAATTGCACCTCGCACGTGCACGAGACTCCCAAGCATAAGAAACACAGCAGCAATGACATTAACCTCTTGTTTGCCGTGCTTCCTGGAGCTTAATTACAGAACAGTGGAAAGAGCGTGACCCCGCAGCTCTCCAGCATTATAATTAGCATTCTCCATACTGAAGCCTATTGTCTGCAGGACAGTTTTGTCTCTTCTCTGTTCTGACTTGTGCAAGATTACACCCCTAAATGCGAGTTCATGGCCTTTCCTCAAAGTCAGCCTTTTGTTTTCAGCATAGCACCAAAATCAATGGGCTGGCAGGATGTTCAGTATATACCCATAGGGTCAGTTTGATGCTCATTCACTAGATACATACAGTGCATTGTAGAGATCTATACGAGATAACAATGATTTTCCACTTTCTAAGCGTAGCCACATGAGATTAGGTTATTCTGTGGAAAAAATGCTACCAGTTCTTTTTGTCATGCTATTAATGGCGAGTAGCAGAGTCTGTACATTTTGCTTGGATTACAGATAAAAACCTGCTCAAAATCTTCCTGTTTCTCTTCTTATGTATAAATGAAGCTGTGCATTGTACCTCATTAAAACAAACTAAGGTACCTCATTAACACCAGCCAGGAATTACTCTGAATGTCAGAATTGGAAGTCTGTATAATACTGACACAAAAACTGTTACTGAAGATAGGCTCTGTTTAATTAGGAAGATACTGACAGGTTTTAGCAAAAAGATTAACAACCTGAGGTTCAGAATTTTGCCTGGACTGAGTCCTGATGAAATAACATGGTCCTTGCCTCAGTCTGCTTTTTTCTTCACAATTTCTGTCTCTGTTAATGAAGAGAGTTGATTTTTTTTTCCTCTTTTTTTTTTTCCCCATTACGTCTTTTTTTTTTTTCCTCTACAAGGAGAATGAATGGACATACACAGGAAAAAATGTAACAGTGGGAAAAGTTTTCTTAAATTTGGTAAAAAAGAAAGCAGTCAGATTTTCAAAAGCAGTGATAATGCAAAGTTCTGATCCAGCTCAAGTTATAAGAAAATATTTCAGATAGGTCTGATGTTTAGGAAGACATTTCTGGCAGGACCTCACCAATGGGTGATAGGTTCTACTGCACCTCAGGCGTTGGTTTAAGAAGACAATAGGGATTAAGGAACATAAACCAAAACTCCTGTCATTGACAAATCATGCATTAGATGCGCACAGAGATGCTATATGTAGAAATGTAATCAAAACCTTCAGCTTTTTCTCATGATTTTTATTTTTTCCTGAAACAGGAGTGCAAGAAAATATGTTATGTAGTGTTCTCATAACTCCATTAGTTTTCATAAATTCAAAATATGTAGAAATATTCTCATCCAAAAAAGAGCAGCCCACTAAATCTGAGGCACCATTTCTGCTGCCTGCCCAGAAACACCAATGTTGTACATGGCACCTTTGTCTTGAGTAACCTTTCTTGTTCTTACGGAGATTGAAGTAGTGGCAGTGCTGCACCCATCCAGCGCTCACTGTAGCAGGAGATTAGTAATGATTTGCAACAGGATCCTGCTCCTAGGGTTGCGCGGCTTGCTAGCGAGGTGTAAGGCAAGATCTTCACCAAGCCAGGAACACTGTTTCTGCATGTTGGGCAGACGCCAGCCCCGCTTGGCCTGGGAGACGGGGGCACTGTGCTAAAGGCAGAAAGCTGCCCTCTGACTACTGAGTTTTTTTCCTTATATGGTGATTTTTGCCTCATTTCCCATCTTATTCAGAAGAGGAGTGGGGAGAAGAAACTGTTGTAAAAATTGAACACAACAAATTTAGTCTTTTTTCCTGCCCCACGAGCAAGTAGGAGATTTTTTCAAGCAAAATCCTCTTCACATTTATCAAGCTTATGCTGTACGGTTATGCGGTTTTCTTCATGTGAAAACCAGCACATTAGTCAGCCATTTTCTGAAAGATGATACGTGTTCTTCACTTGAGTCCAGTTAATGAGGACTTTTGGTCTTCTCTGTGTAAAGGCCAGGAGCAAGTTGTAGAACTTTCCATCTGTTTCCTCATCTTTATCTGAGGCAATATTACTGTTTTTTTCCAATTCCATAAGGCACAATGAAATAAACTTTTCTGGTTTGGGTCCTTTTTTTGGGGAGAGGGGGTTTGTTTTGTTTTGTTTTCCTACAGATTGAGCCACTGGCTGTGTTCTAAATTCCTCTTTATTCTATTCCTCCTTATTCAGATTGAAATAAGTCTTTTATTGTTAGTGTTTTTATGCAGTTACTTTTGTTTTTCTAAGGGATGAAGGAGTCCATAGAACATAGACCAACTTATTGCTGACAATAGACAGAAACTTTCATTATAAGTATATGTTAAAAAAATTACCTGTTTGATTAGTTTTAACAATGATTTCCAATAAATCAACCTCGATAAACATAATGTTAATTTCTTCTTAATTTGGAATCCAAAATTTTTCTGAATGCTCATTTTATTTTTTATCTGCTGTACTTGTATGTATCTAGGCATGTTAAATTCTTGCATTAATGATAAGAAAGTTACTGTTGTGTGCCTTTCATAACGTTTTAATAACAAATAGATTAATAGCCCTAGTTCATGAGAATTTTTAGCTATTATATGCAGGCCTCTTAAGCCATATAGCTAACCCCTCCCATATTTTCTCCTTTTATACAGATATATTCAGAGAAAATAGCTGATATTAAGTTTGTTTCCATTATTCAGTGCCAACTAAAAAAAAAATAAAAAAAAAAAGACCTCAGGGAAAAAAAAGAAAAAGAAAGCAAAGCAAACTGACCTGTTTTTTAGCATCTGAAGTTCCCAGTCCACAGCAGAAGTTAAATGTCTTTGCTTTTCCACTGTGCAATGCAGAGAATGTGGTGGGAACAGAATAGCAAGGCAACTCAGCTGGAAAATATCTCAGATAGATGAAATATTTGTCAAGCAGTTTTCTCATGTGAATATGCCTCTAGTTGGTATATGCCAGTCACCAGAGCATGGCATTTGTTTTATCTTCTGTCCCGAGGATTTATTTTAAAGGAAAAACTGCTGTGTAAGGCGTCAGAACTGTGGTGATAACAAAGCAATGTAAGTTTAACAAGAGCTCTATCTTTCATGAAGCTAACAGAAAAAAAGTCAAGTTTTAATAACCTCAAGGGTCCCTTTTTCAGATAAGAATTTTGTAACAAAGGGACCTTAAGGCAGGTTCCCTTTCTTCATCTCTGCTAGACTCGTGTTCATTACTGCCAAGACATCATTTTGCATTTTTTAAAGATGCAGACATCAACTATGATAGCACTGAATTTAAAATGAATAACAACAACTATAACAGTTAAAAACATGCTTTCCCCAGATGTGACGATGTCTCAATAGAATATGCAGAAAAGGAAACAAGGCACGTATAAGTGTTTATCAGCTTTGCAGCTTACAAAACCAATGTCCTGAACAAAGACAGCAACATATCCAGTGGGTGTTATCTGATCAAAAACATTCCACATGTACAAATCAAAGCTAAGGGTAAAAAGAGCCATGTAGAGATGAGATAGCCAAGAAGGCAGACACATTAGGATAGAGCCTCATTTTAAAACAGTTAGGCTTTAAAAAAGGCAAGATGAGAGCTAAGTGAATTCCCTCTCAGGGCTCATGTTCTCACAAACAGGTCTCTGAACTGGAGAAAGATTCATAATAAATCTGTTTTCAAGCATGACATGGGCAGTAGCCTTTCCATAGGGCATTTTTGAAGGTGGGAATGAACAAAAATAAGTAAGAGACAAACCCAAAGGTTATGTAGGTAGAATTTTATTCAATTAATGTTACAGTTAATATTAAAAAATATAAACATTTAAAAAGGAAAGAGCCTATTGGTCATCAATGTGTAATACCCGCACCATCCTAATTAATTGCTGACTTAAATAAAATCAGTGCCTCAATCTGCTGCTCATCTCCTGGACAAAGCAGTTGAGCAATGCAACTGAGGGTCTGCACTACATACTAGCAAAATTGTCATGGAAGAGTGGCCCAGTTATTAGCATTTTACTCCTCAGGATGATTGTCCTGGAGATTGGCTAGGTTTCTGTGAGATGTTTGTGCCTCTGATTAGTGTTTTTAACAAACAGTTGAGTCAGCACTGGAGCTGAAAAGATTAACTCATTTGCCTGTCCTCTTCAAACTTGCTTTCATGCCTAAGTTTTGAATTCCTCATGAAGATTTTCCCTTGGTGGAGAAATAAAGATGAATGCTGTCTATGTTCTTCGGGGTCTGTAGGATGTCCCACAGTACTGATGTCCCCACCTCCACCCTTGCATAAGTAGATGATAAGTAGATGTCCTACTATCTATTTCCATAAAGCATGCAGGTGTTTGATAACTTCTGATGTTGCATATTTATTTTTGAGCTTTACATTTATAGGGCTTTATCTCCAACCATTTTGTCCTGAAAATAAGATTACAAGCAATAAAAAATTACCTTAGATTTGCAATTTTAAAACATGCTATTATGCTATTATGAGTTTGGAGTTTTTTAAATAAAAGAATAAAATTTCGTAGAAGTTTTCATTGAAAAAAAAAACCACCAATAATGCTGGCAACATCAAGACAGTGTTTTCATTTTCAAAGAAGAAATCTTTCAGGAGCTATTTCTAAGTTTAAACAAAATAAAAATAATTACATAAATAAATAAATAAAATTTACAGTGAGGAATGACAGGACAAATCATTAAATGTGGAAGATGAAATTAGCCCTGAGTAAGTCTTAGGCTTATGTCTTCCCTTTGTACAACGTCATATTTCTTCCTTCTTTAAAGGAGGAAAAATAAGTAATCTGCTTATTAATTTCAGAAGAGTAGAAGAAATGCTGTTGAGACAGCTGAACCAAATTTGCTGGTAAGAACAAAAGGCCTGGATCAGCAAGTAGGTAGAACTCATTCATGGTCTTAAGAGTAATAGTACTTACTCATTTACTTGGGAAAAAGGATTCTTAGTTATCAGTAAGTGGTCTGGAGGGGCAGTATGCCAGTCACTGCATCTCTTCAGTCATCATATGATGGCAATCAGTTTGCACCACTCAGCAACCATACCCCTTACACTTCATCCCATATCTCCTGATTCTGTGCAATCCAAAGCCTAGGTATTCTCCCGCCCCTACATTCAGGGTCTGTCATTTAGGAGTACGAGCAGAGAATATGTCTGAGCTTCTCTGTGCAGAAGAGTGCTCTTTAATCATTGTACCTTTTTTAGAAAAAAAAAAAAGAAAAAGAAATTGTGGTGTTTGTTCACTTCCAAACATTTTTGTAATGGTTAATAGGACAGTGAAGATATAGCCACACCATTTGTGATTTACTGTTGCAGTGGACAGGGACTGGAAAGGCACTACAACATAAGGAAATAGGAAAATCAAGAAGTTATTACTGTAGTGAAAGTTCAGTGTATGATATAGTAAGGTAAGTAGGCACAATTTGTCTGACATGAGATTGGGCAGGAGTTCAAGTTTTATTTTGGAATAGCATTCAAAAGGTTGCATGTTTTAATACCACTTCATACTTGCCTTTGTTCCCTCAGTGCATGGGCATGACGTGCAGACACCTGATGTCACCATGTTGGAAGCCTTGGTGTCTGCAGGTAGGTTGAGCAGCTCTCAGCAAAGGATCCCCGAGCCACTGCCAAATCAGACCTTGTTTTCAATTATTTGTAACTCCGCCAAATATGCTTGCTTCAGTCTTTTTGGTACAAAGTATGTTCAATTTTCTTTTTATTGCCGCTGCTGTCAGATGAGTTGCCTGATTGCATCTGGAAATCTTAATCAGTCCAGTCTCTGTCCACAAAAGAACAAAGAAAAGTGAGTTTTAGTGGACAGAGAATATGAAGAATGTGGTACAGCTAGCAAGTCCTGGCAACTGGGTACAGGCTCTGCCCCTTTCTGCAAGTCTCCCACCACTATAGCCCCAGCCAGCTCTTGCCCAGTTTGCCTTAGGATCAGCACTGTGATTTTCAGCAGCTTTGAGTCAGGCAAACTACATGAAATGTTCAGCATTAGAAACAAGCATGCCAAACATTGCTGATGCACCTGTTTTATGTTGAGAGTGGGAAGATAGTCAAAGAGGAAGTGGCCAGCTTTAAAAGAGAAGCAGCATTTTCAATTTCTGAAAATAGCCCAGATACAGAACTGGGTAACAAGAATACGTTACTGAGTAAATGCCTGTTGGATATGCGCTTGGGCACTTTTTCATCCTCACACACGAGCAGCATGTGCTGTATTCTCAAAGCACAGATTAGTTCTCACTGCTCTGAAACACTCCTGGCTCCATCTGCCACTCGTGGGGCCAAGGTGCTGCTTGGTGACAATGGGCAAAGCCTGGCAAGAAACTGCAACAATTGCACAAATTGATTTGTCCTTCTTTCCCGGTTCACCTTAGTTCTTGCACAGATACAGCTGATAGCACTCGGGTTGCTGCAGTACACAAGACAGAGTCTTCTGGCATACAGATTTTCAAACTTTGAAAGTGATTTCCTGGGCAGCATATTAATTTCCTCAGTACTCAACAGGAACACTGGCTAAAACTGCACTGCAGGTAGGGAAATTATAACAGGTCAGAAACTTGTAGGAACTTTGGAGAGTATAGGAAAATGTTGGTCATTGGTAAAAGAAACCTCCATTAGAACATGAAAGCGTGCAATATCCTAGGATGTGAGGGACAAGGAAGAAAGCGTTTGGCATATGACATATCTGCTCTCCTTTGCTGGCTGAATCCAGTTAGATGGTATACAAAAGTGTCTTATAATGAAGTGAACAAAGATTTTCCACACCTACTAGGGTGGTAACCCTGGGGCTATGAAAGAAAAAAAAAAAAGATCTCTTAGAAACCGCAGAACACTTGTTAGTACTTTAAAAGATTGTATAAGCCAGGAGAAAAGGTTTTTATGTTGGCTAGTTGAAAGAGACAAGAGGACTTACTAAGAAGTGTGATATATATATATATAAATTTCTTTTCAGTTTGGCCATGAGTCCCTCTGAGCAAAGCAGGATCTGTGCAACCTGGGAGCTGGATTACGGAGCTCAGAACTAGGGGGAGAAAGGGGGAGGGGGGAACATGAAACATGTGGCTCTCACACTTGAAAAGAAATTTTGATTCACTCCCACACACATATAATGTGCCTGCACTGCACAGGAGTGCAATCATGGCATTTTACGGGCAGGTAAATATGAGATGTAAAGTACAAGCAGTGATCCCTTTGCTTCATGAAGCAGATGGTCACAGAGACACTGCAGATCTCTGGCATCTGCTCTGCAACCAGGTTCCTGAGCCACTGCTGGACATGGGAATGGTGCGAGGGAACAGTTCTGAAGGGGAAAGGACAAATCCCCAGGGAAAGCCCTTGCATCATTGGAGCTGTTGATCCAGCATACCATTCGCAGACCAATGTCAACACAGTGGGACACACAGAAAGACAGGACTGCATCTGGTACTGCTCCTTGCTGCAGCTATTGAGCTGAGAAGTGAGACCAGAGAAGTTTCATGCACCAAGGTAGTGTGTGCTGAACAACTGCCCCTTGAAAACCTTATTTTCCCTTTGAATCAAAATGCTATCCAATTTGATATTTTAATAAACATTAACTCCATATATGGAATTCAAAAGCAAGATTCTGCTTTCAAAGCACACACAGCATCTGGAGATGCTGCATACGGAAAAATCAAATAAATATCTGGAGAGAAAGTGTTTAATGTAGAGGAGATACATGCCTAGAGTTTAGAGCCCCACTTTCAGTTCAGGTCTACCTTGACTTCAGAATTTGCCACCTGAGGATTCCTCTAGCCCTTAGGACATGGGGTGGGGATCAAATATTTGACCCACTCCCTTTACACATATAAGTACTTAAATACCTTTCCCTGCCTATGTGCTTAGTTTCCTATAGGCACATAAATGCATAATTACAGCAAGAAGGTCAGCAGCTATTCATCACTGCAGTTCTGGGATGTGCATGGCAATCTGTCGAGAAGATGCAGCGCTTCCTTGCATAGTCCAACCAGTCCAAAATGCAAAAAAACGTGATTTTTTACTAAAAAGAGAAAATCACACCTTCAGATATCTTTCCTGTGTTTGAC